AAAAAAAAAAAAAAAAAAAAAAAGGAGAAAAGACAGAGAGGTTTGTGGGTCAAGTGTATTTCATGAGAGAAAGGAGTCAGTGGATGTAGGTTTCTTTCTTTCATTTGGCTGCAGAAAAACGTTTAAATGAGCCTGTCCCTTTTTACTGCTGCAGAAGGTAAGATAACTAATTTGCCTTACTGAAATTATTTCATTTATTTCAACTATAGTAACATAATTTTGCTCAGGAAATTAAATTTTCTCTAGCACCGTCTAATCCTTTTATCAGTTGTATCTGGTCATGCAGGGCTGATGTGATACTCTCTTGCCAACTTGGCATTTCTTTTGTGCGCTGCACCTTTTGACAACGGTCAACAACATCTTCAGGTAAAAAAATTTCTAAATATTACAAGACAGAAGGATGCATTTGATGGACTGTCTTCCATTTTGAAATAGGCATTTCAGGTTAAGCTTTATGTGCCAAATAAGAATATTTTGCAAACTGGAAAGAACCAAGTGTCCTATAGAAATGGATCTATTTACAATGAAAATTAGTTCTTGAAAGGCGTTTTCAAAAGATACCTGGAAGCTAAAGCAGAATTAGCCTTTGTGAGAAGTGATTTTAATCTTGGACTTCAGAATACATTGGGGGTTTCTCCCACGCTTTGAGATGGAAAAGAACTATTAGAAGGGACTAAAACAACAAAGAAAGGATTTTTCTTGTTTCCGCAATAAAAGCATATCCTCCATTAAAGACATCATTATCCTGTTAATGAAATTATTTGCAGTAATTTTGAAAATACCTTTATTAAAACTGATAAATAAACAATATAAATCTGTAATAGCTACAGATGTAACAGCCCTAAACAGTACTAGACTTTGCACTCCTAATGATTTTGCACCATCACAATAATATGTATTAAGCATTTTTACTGTTGTCAGTTCCTGTACTTTTAAGGAACAGAGGCAGGGCCTCTGTTTTCTTGCCTGCAGTCCATTCAGAGCCTATAAAGAAGGAATTTTCAGCTGTTTGCGTGAGTATGGAGAAGTCCTGGGGTTTCATCTTCACTCTTGGTGATGCATTTTACTTCTGAAGGGCCCCTGGATAAATATGACCCACAGTCGGAAGGAGAGCCTCCCCTTTTGCACATCCTCTTCCTCTGTGTTCTGCTTCTGACCATGTCAACCCTTTCCACTCTTGTCCACAGTTATACATAGACTAATGTGAGGGCACCCTGCAAAGAAGCAGCAGTTATAGTTTTGAATCTTCTCAGGTTTTAGGAGGGAGTTGATTTCCTGGTCTCGCATCCTGAGAGATGCCATCCTCACCCCCTGTAACTAGCCTTTTGCAAACTTTTGCCATCCTCACCCCCTGTAACTAGCCTTTTGCAAACTGAGAGCCCCCTCAAATCTCTCACTGAATTTTGTAGAAGCTTCTATGGTGAAGAAATCCACGTGTTCTGCATTGTAAGTGGATCAAGATGCTTCCCTGCAACCTTGCTGCCAGCACTTAAGTACTAGGGAAAGGTGAGAAGCTTAGGATCAGCCCTGTGTTTGGCATTTCCTGTTGCAGTGCTCTGCAGAGCTTTCTGCTTGGCAAAGGCAGGTTGTTGGCTTATCTTTCCACACCTACCTCTTTTAAGCATGCATAAACCCCTGAATCTGGGGTTTGGATTTCACTACAATAGCGAAGCAACTAAACTGTCAGTGGTTCAGGCAGTCTTTGTACCCTGCAAGAAATTGTGAGCATGGTTCTCTTAAACTAAGTTCCATGGGTAGTATTTGTGTATGTGCATAGGTGCACACAGCATACCTTTGGTCCTGGCCAGCCTCAGAGCTGTCATGGAATCTTAAACATGGTTAATCTTCCTTTTGCAGCACAATGGTACGTACTGGAGCTACTAATATTGCCATCAAAGAATAATTTTTCTTCCTTTTTGTGGGTGAGTGAGCAAGCCTGAATGGGTTGATACTACAGCATTCTTTTCCCAGGCAGAAGAAATAAATGTCATTACATTAGAGGACACTTGCTGCCGTGCTGCTGTGGAAAGCAGAGGGTACTTTTTGTTTAAAGACACAGATGTTGTCTTGTCATGGTGTGCTGTAGAAAGAAACTTAAAACTTACTGTTATTTGCCAGGAAAAAGCTTAGAGCTCTTACAGATGGAATTGGTTTGGTCACAATATGTCAGCAGATGATATGGATGGATAAAAATTGCTTTCCAAGATTTGGAAACAGCAGCATTCATGAGCTGTCTTGTTTTCGGGTCACACACAGAGACCTGGTTAATATCTGTTAGGCTGCCTGTGTTAAAGCCTTGCTTTCTGACTGTTTTGGATCTGAGAGTAAAGTTTCTCAAGCTCCAGGGAAACTCTTTAAGTTGCAATTGCCTAGAGGAAAGCCAGGGCCACCGGGCATGGGCTTGTTCTTGAAGCTAATAGGAAATCCAGTGGGATAGCTGCAGCTGCTGAAGGTGCCTCATGAATGTGGTGTTCATCAGACTGCCAGTTGTCATGCACAGAGAATGGGCTTAAATGTATTTTCTCTAGTAGATGATGTTTAGTTTTTCATAGCTTTATTCATGGTGAGAGGGCACCTTTAAGCCTACGCAAGCTCTCAAGTCTCCCCTTTAGGTTTGTATGGATCGGATGGTAGGCCAATTATTTTTAGCGGGCTGTATTATGTTTCTTTGTCTTGCAAAACCAAACCCAAGCTCCCCCTCCCTGTAGCTGTCAGTAGCTGGTATAGTCCTGAGATGCTTATGTGATTATCTGCGATGCTGCAGTGACGGGTGAATAAAGCTGTCATTGCGAAGCATTGGCAAACGCCAAGGTGGGAGCTAGTTCACACACAGATAATGACACAACAGCGTAAAATGTAGGTCTATCAGAGATTGCTGTGAGCAGCTTTATGTGGCCTTTATCAGGAAAAAAGGTAGCTAGCAATTTGGGGAAGGGGTTTTTTTCTTCTTTGTTTAAATGTTACTTCTTTATAAGGAAAGGAAGAAGGTGGGGAAGTTTGAAATAGATACAAGTGAGAAATAAAACCACCATTGACCAAAGTGTAAGCTGGTTTGCTTTCTAATTAAAGGAGTTTTTAAAATTTACACTTTCAAGTACTTCACCTGATGGCTACGAAGGATACAACTGTGTGAGGATACCTCAGAGGTTTTTAATACAGTCAGCCAGCTGCATAACGCCTATGAGTACCAGTGCAAGTTGTGAGGTGTGGTTTGCATACAACATGTATCATCTATCTACGTGGCCCATGTGTTAAAATGCACAGCTCCCGCATTCCTCCATCCTGCATTAACCTGTAGCCTGGCTGATTGCATCCACCCTGCGGTATGACCTACTGGCTGGTGTTGCTAGTGCATGCGTCCATCCTGTCTTGTCTTTTCTTTGTCTGTCTGTCTGTCCTGCAGTTTTTGTCTGTGTGTCTATTTGTAGATGAAGGGGCGGAGGATAAGGTGGGACCGCTACAGTACTGCCCAGGCTGTGGGCCTGCTGCCAGCAGGGAGTGGCGTAAACACCTGGCCCCCTCCATTTCAGTGTCTGTGCCTGATGATGAGCCCTACAATTCGGACGAGGAGTACTATGAACACCCTTTGTTCAGCTCAGAGTGGACTGGCTCTAGTACACGTCCCAGTGCCACAGTGAAGAGCACAGAGGTCTTGTTGGGCCATGATGAAGGTGAACTGAGCATGGTCCCATTTTGTTCCTCTTCCCCTGTACCCACCTGCCATCCATTCCATTATATATGTGCCTGGGATTGCTGCTTTCTGGGGAGGGAAACCTGGTTGTGTTTTCTCCCCACATGGAAGTGACGCCCCTGCAGAGTCTCTCCATCTCAAAGTGAAGCTGCAGTGTGAGCAGTGAATGCGACTTTGGGGTCAGTGAAACCATGGTCCCTGCTTAAAGCAGGGCTCTTGTTCTACTGGCCTGGCTTATAGCAGAAAGCGAAAGGAGCAGCTCATTAAAAGAAGTGTAAGCTAATTTGTTCTTTGTGCCAGAGAATCACTGCCAAGAACAGTGTGCAAAATAGGCCGAAAGATAATTACTGGAGGTAAGTCAGTTGTTAACACAATGGGGAAAAACCCCACATCTATACCAAAGAGAGCAGCGGAAGGTCATTAATTCTCCAGTAGGCAAAGGAAGTCACAGAATCACAGAATGGCAAGGGTTGGAAGGGACCTCGGGATATCATCTAGTCCAACCCTAGTCATTTTAGCCTACTATACACAGGTGACGTCAGGCAGTATTGGGTCATGTTTGATCTCCAGTTGTTCTCTGGATACACCCAGTTAACATTGTGTCAGCTGACTGCAAACAAGGAGGGAAAAAAAAAGTTTACTTTTACTGTGTTTCTGTACCCCCTTTTTCTATGGCGTGAGCACATCAGTAAGTATTATTTTATCAGTGGGGGTAACGTAGAAGTGAAATGGCTTTTGAGTATTCAAGGGAGAATCTATTTCTGTGACTAACAGGAACACCGACTTCTTTTCCAATGCAAAATAGATCACCTTTCATCTCACAGCATTTGACTAATTCAAGGTTGGGATGCAGGAACTGAAGTTAAAGACAGTACTGAATCCTCTAAAGGTTTGTGTTTCTGGAAAATGGAGGTGTATACCTGAAATTGCTCACTGGGTCATTTCAAGAAAACCAGAGCTGTTTAGAATTGACAGGATAATATAGCCTAGTACCGCAACAGCACCAGGAGGAGATCAATGCTAGTAATCGAAGATTATTAATGTCAGCATGTCTTACCTGAAGCTAGGGGAGACAGAACATCACAGGAGTATCCTTACTGTAGCTGGGTGCCTATAGCTGTATTTACAGGACTCCTGCACTGGTTAATTCCTGGGAAGCTTCAGTCATATGCATCTACCTCTGGTGAAAGTGTAAGATCTCAGAACATCTGAGAGGAAAAACAAAGGGAAATAAGCTGGAAAGACAGTGAAAAGACAGGTGTTATGAAGCAGCCCTCCTTACTTGCTGCCCGTAAGCAAGCAGTCTGTTTGGCGTAAAAGAGTCTGCTACACAAAGGGAGTCCTTCATTAAGTCAGGGATAACTTTGGTGAGTAATTAGTTTTAATCATGGGGCATTGTGTGAAGTATCTCAGGAAATGGAGGTGCATACCTGAAATTGCTCAGAGTAAAATGAGAGGCTTTCCTTAAAGTTTTTTAATTGAAAGGGATGCACATACAAAACTACATAAAATCAGAAAAAGCATGGTAAAGCAAGTTATTTGAGTCAGGGCCTCTTGTAGCTGTTCTGCCAGGCTGCTTTTACAATCTGCCCGTGTGTAAATATCCCTGTAACACTTGGGCACCGGTCCAGTTCTGATTCTGAATCTTCTGGCTTCTGTTCATTTAAGATATAATATCTAACATTAATCACATTTTTGTATGTTATTAATTATGTGTTGTTCTTTACATAGTGATATTTTCCCAGCCTCAAATAGTATTTGTGTTCCTTAAATCACTTTAAAGGCCATAACTGAAGTGGATGGTTGATTGTCTGGTTTTAACCAGGCCAATCTCAGGGCAAAAATCAAGTCCTTGTAAAGAGGTTTAACTTTAATACCAGGAGGCTGGATACAGCCACCACTTTTGTTCTAAGTCTGATTCAGCAAAATCCTTAAGTGTGAGAGACACTTTAAACCTGGAGGGGGGGGGCCATCAGGTTGACTGCAGCATGGCTGCTGGTCAGCCACTTAAGTATGTTGCTGAGTCAAAGGTTCCACACTTAATCCTGACTTCTTATCAGAACAGGTACTAAGAGAGCACAGTAATATTCTGTCTGAGTAGCAGTGGCAGGAGTACAGTCCAGAATGGAAACTAATCATTGTTCTGCCATGGTATGAGTAAAGACTGCTCTTGATACCACTAAAGTATTTTAGAAATTTAGATGAAGAAATAATTATATTGCACTCACTGATTTCTTTGACCTAATTGGTGACAAGGAGCCTGGGGGCTAGTGGGGAAGCAGGAAAAAAAAAATGAAGAGTCCTCGTGTTAAATCTGTGATTTTTCACATACAGAGGTCAGATGTTAGGCAGCCTAAGGGAGAAACTGTTTATAAACCGCCACTCAGTGTAGGAATCTTGGCTGAATTCTTGCAAAACCATTAGTTATCAGCTATGCACAAGGCTTATTAAGACTATGGAAGTAGCTCAATATTTTGGCCAAATCTAGGATTGACTTGCTGGCATTTAGCAGTCAGTATTATTCACTTAAATCTAAAATGTTCAGAGCTGAAAGTGTTATGCAAAAGCAGTCCTGTTGAGCTGTGTGGTTGGTGTTTACTGTTGGTGTTGATGTTGCCTCCTTTTTCCATCTCCAAGAAGAACCAGTAGAGAGTCCGATGGCTGTGGAAGCAAAACCTGCTGCTCTTTCTGGGAAGCAACTGGGGAAAGAGCACGGGCCCACTGAGCCTTCGGCCCAGGCAAAGAGCCTCTGTGAGGGTCAGTCGGATGCAGGTTTGGAGGCCAAAGTGTGTCATGAAGACAAAGTGCCAAGTGTGGCATCCAGCAGGCAGAGTGTAACCATTGTGGCGGAAACGCCCCTGGAAGAGACATCCCCTTCCTCAGCTGAGGAAGGTGTGTCCTCCTTAGGTTTGCATGTGTTTGCTGCCAGTGAATCCTTCTCCAGCTTTCTCCAGTGCTTTCCAAGGCTGCTTCATTTCCTGTTCTTCCCATTTATTATGACTGCTCTTGTTATTATGCTTGAAGAGTGTGTAGCAGATAATATGTTTGCATAGGTGCTGTATGACAACATGGTTTCCCACCACTGCGGCTGATTCCTGATTTTTTACTTTGCTATGGTAAAATACGCTTTGCAGCTAAGCTGATTCCTCTGCATAAGCCTTTTCCCCTCATCTCAGATGTGTTTGCCAGTCACATTGCTAATCTATGTATATTTTTTTCCTTTTGGTGCAGAGATTCATCTGCTTTTCTTTCAAAAAGTAGATTTATTGACTTCTACTATGACATCGAGAGGCTTAAACTGTAGAAATGTTTTCATTTGCAGTGTGCAGGTTTTTTGTTTGTTTTGGTTTTTTTGTGTGTGCTTCGGTGCATTCTGGTTTAGCTTCCCTAAAGCTATCGCTTCTTATGTCATATCCTTGCCATTCATTGCAGTCCACCCCTCCTCTCCTTGATCATTGCCAGAACTCTGATTTTTTGTGTGTCTTACCTTACTACAAATGTTTAACCCTGCATGAGTGCTTTGGTCAGGCAAAACCTCTATCACTTCCACTGGGATGTTTGCCTTCATAGTGAAGTTTAGGATTGGGTGCATAGGGTGAAGTTCTGATCTGCTTACTGAGCAAAGTATTTGCTGCAATCAGTTGTCTTTCAGTACATAAGAATTAGGCTTCAAGATTTTCCTTTCAATGGTATTTCTCTTCAGCTAGTGCAACAAGGTGTAAAGACACATTGTATGGAGTAGTGATATACCCATTCACTACCTGGCTAAGCAATGCTGCCTTTGGGAGGCTGCTGTTCTGGCTGGCCCAGCTAAAGAATACTAAATTCCTTTGGCGGTCAGAATGTTTTGATGCCATTGGTATTGTTCATTTGCACTACAGTAAGAGGCACAGTAGGATACATAAGGAAAGACAGTATCTAGCTATTTAATTTCTGTGAAACGAGGATGACATCAACTCGATGGCCATGTTTTTATAGTTCATAGAGTTTGCAAGTAATGTAAATACATAATGTAAAAACAGAAAGGGGCAAAATTACTGTAGTTGTAGACATCTCATTTTTCTACCTGTAGAGAGAATGGCCGTTGCTTTTTTTGACTAAATGTTAGCATATGCAAATGTTTAAAGAATAATCAGTACTTCGATAATAATTGTTCTAAAAAATTCAGATTCATCAGAGCAAAAAGGTGGCTCCATGAACTTCAAATCAGAGATGAGGAGATTCAGCGTTGGCCTTATGCCTGTTGTGACAAGCTTTAGACAAGTTTTTTTTATAGATAACTGCAGAAAGTTCTGCCACATTCTGCAGTATTTATCTTCATATTTTCCATGATAGGAAGGTTTCCATATGATAGGAATCACTATTTTCCATAGGATATTAAAAAGAAGAAGCTATTAATGATTAACAGTGTGTAAAAAAAAAAAAAAAAAAAAAAAAAACACCAAACCAAACTAAAAACCAAAAAACCTTAACTAGGTATTATTACTCCCTAATAATATAGTGTCAGACTGTAAGAGTAGCATTTTTAGTTTCAAATTAACTTAATTAGGGCCTGATCTACAGTCATTGAAACATGCCAGGTATTCTTTGACTTCAGTTACAACTGAACGTGGCTGGCCATTTTGAAGACCAGACCTTCAAGATGTGGGACTATTAATAGCTCTGTTGCTGATTTACACATACCGGTTTCATGACAGCAGTGAGATTTTTGTCATTTGCCAGAAGAGTAAATGTCAAAAGTTGGTACAATTAAAAAAACCAGCCTCTTCTGATGCTCGCAAAAACTTTTATATGCATTATTTCTTTAGTTTAGGCTGCATGTAGAAGAAAAATGTAAAATAGATATAGAAATGCATAACTATGTATGTTCTAAATATCAGCAACACACAAAGATACTACTGATTGGACTTAATTTTGCAGACTTTACTAACTCAAAACTAACACAAGTTACGGAGTCCAGCAAAGCATACCAATGAAGTGAGGATTACTTGTGGTTTTACTGTTGTATACAAACCATGAAGATGAAGAATTCACATGAAACCATCTCATTTCAGTTGCATACTTACATGTATAAAACCCACATTTTCATTATAAAACCTCATACATTGAAAAGAAACTACGTTTTAACACTTTAAAGCAGATTTCTAGGTGGATGGCCTTGCTGCATGTTTGCATCTTTCTCCCTCTCCTTTCCATCATTCATACCAAGATGTTGTTGTGAGCCACATGACTGCCTGCCTGTAAGTGCTTTAAATAATTTTGTTATAAAACCCAAACAAACTACTTCAGATTTACTTGCAGCCACGAAGATGGAATTCCGTGTCCAGGAGGGCGCACGCCCTTTCACATCAGAACCATTAGACACAAAGCAACATGAATCTGGGAAAGACAGTAAGACTGGTGAGCAACCTAAACATGATGCCTTAGTTCCACAGCCAGCAAAAACAGAGGCTATTGATAAACAGGATTCACAGAGCAAAGACAAAGAAAACATGCCTTCACCTCTATCAGAACAGATCTTGGAAACTGATTCGCAAAAGAAAGGGGAAGCCAGTTTTGCAGAACCTGCTGCCAAGCCTCCTGCTTCTCAAGAACAAAAGGACTTGTCCTCTGAACTGCCTAAAGGGAGCAAAACAGAAGAAAGGACTTCAGATGCACCCTCATCATCCAACCAAGTTATGTCTATGAAATTTAAAGATGACCTTAAAGATGTCCAAGATCTTGCCATCAGCCGTGGTGAAAGTTCTCTGTTGCTATCAGAACCCAAGGCAGAAGCAGCCAAAAGTGAACTTCACTTCACAGGCCTGTGTCCCACTGTCCCCCAGGACCTTCCACTCAAAGACAGTTTCAAAACAAAACAAGAACTCACTGACCAACTGTTTGCCAAAGGTATCACTAAAGATGAACAGATACACAGAGACAGGACACTAGCTCTACAGGAGGTCTCAGCAGTAACTGTAGATGGCCTGAAAACACCAAGCACCCAGAAAATCCCTCCATGGGGGGAGGAAAAGGACATGACCAAGGATGAGAGTGATGAGGAAGAAAGGTATGACTTCTATGATAAAGGGGAGGCTCGAATATTAGATGATGGTAAATTTACCACAAAACCTGAAGTTAAGACACTTTCCCTAGACCAGCCAGACTTTCAAAAGGATGATGAAGCTAAAAAGTCACCTGATCTTCTCAAAGCAGAAAAAGAAGTGGACCAAAGTGGGCTCCCAGCAGCAGTAGACATGAAAAAGGAAGTCCAGCCAAGCACACAGGTACCCCCACCCAAGTTAAGTCATGAACTGACCCTTGAGAAAACATTAGAGCACACTGATACCACTCAGTTATCCAGAATAACAGAGAAAGCCCCTGAGGCACCAAGTTTAACCACTGACAAGACTCCTACTCTAGAACCTTCTCAAGAGAAAGATGTTAAAAAAGATACCAAGGAGGAGAAGACAAGTGTTTCAGCTTCTCATCAAATGAAAGAAGAGGAGGATCGATCAGGAATGTCAAAGTATTTTGAAACCTCTGCTCTGAAAGAGGAAGCCTTCAAAGCAGACGCTCTGAAACAGGGCAGTGATTACTATGAGCTAAGTGACACTAAGGAGAGTGTGTATGAGCCTTATCAGACAGATCGTCTAATACCAGAAGACAAAGAGGAAGAGGAGGAAGAATTACAGACAGAATTGGATCAGCAGCAGAGTGGGCCTGCTCATGAAATAGGGTACAGTACCCTGGCTCAGAGCTTTACACCAGACAAATCTGAAGAACCAAGTTCCCCAACAGAAAGAATGTTCACTATTGACCCCAAAGTCTATGGGGATAAGAGAGAACTCCACAGTAAAAATAAAGATGACCTAACTCTGAGCAGGAGCTTGGGACTTGGGGGAAGATCTGCAATTGAACAGAGAAGTATGTCTATTAACTTGCCCATGTCCTGCCTGGATTCAATAGCTCTAGGATTTAGCTTTGGTCGTGCACATGATCTTTCTCCCCTTGCTTCAGATATTCTAACTAACACTAGTGGAAGTATGGATGAAGGTGATGACTACTTGCCAGCAACCACACCAGCAGTGGAGAAGGCCCCCTGCTTCCCCATTGATAGTAGAGAGGAAGATGAGCAGATTGAAGAAGAAAAAGCAACGGCAGAAGAAAAAGTCCCGCCTGAGACCTTGGTTGAAGCACCTTTCCTGGCCAAAGAATATTACAAAAATGGGGCTGTCCTGGCTCCGGACCTGCCTGAAATGTTAGACTTAGCGGGAACAAGATCTAGATTAGCCTCCGTGAGTGCAGATGCTGAGATGGCACAAAAGAAGTCAGTTCCTTCTGACACTGTTGTGGAAGACAGCAGCACAGCCCTGCCACCTGTGACAGATGAAAACCACTTAACTCTAAAAGCTGAAAGCCAGTTAGAAGACTTGGGCTACTGTGTTTTCAATAAGTACACAGTCCCGCTCCCTTCTCCAGTTCAGGACAGTGAGAATTTAACAAGTGAAACCTGTCCCTTTTACGAAGGCACAGATGAAAAACTGAGACGTGGCCTGGCTCCCGACCTGTCTTTAATAGAAGTGAAGCTGGCAGCAGCTGAAAAATCAAAAGAAGAATTCCTCGGTGAAAAAGACTTAGGTCAGCAAGCCACTGGTGAATCCATTCTGCCAAGGGACTTTGAGCAGGAGAAAAAAGAAAAGTTGGATACTGTGCTAGAAAAAAGCAAAGATCAAGTTGACTCCAAAGAGGTCTGTCCCATTAAAGGTGCAGAGCCAGAGAAGACAAGACCTGAGGCAATCTTAGAAATGAAAGAAGAAAGTGTGGCTGATAAAGTTCATGTAACCCATGATACCATGTATGATAGAATATCAGCTTCAGAGATAGCAATAGAAAAGGATGCTGTTTCTTTGTTGATGGAGAAGGAGAAGACGCTTAGTGTTGTTCCTGAAATAGCTGAGATAGAAGCTCCAATCAAACCAGATTACAATGCTATAAAGCACGATTTGGAAGTGGCTGCAAGGAGAGCTGACCAAGAATATCAGAGTCAGTTAGATTCTAAGATCAGTGAGGTCGTTTCTCTCCCCTCAGGGAAGGACAAAGCCTCTGTTAAAAGAGCAGAGCCTGAACCCAAAGACACTCAACAGAAAGATCAGACCATCTTGTCCAGAGAAGCAAAGGATGCAGATGTACTTTCCAAGACCGAGCCTAGTTATGTGAAGTATTCAGACAGCACCAAATTGTCTGAAACAGAAATTAAGGAAAAAGTAACTAAGCCTGATCTGGTACATCAAGAGGCAGTTGATAAAGAGGAATCTTATGAATCTAGTGGAGAGCATGATCAAGCCCAAGAAGGTTTGAATGGAGAATCCTTGAAACCAGAGGATTTCAAAGCAGAACCTCCAAAACTTCCCGTGTCTGGGGAAGAGATGCCTGCACAGTTACCAGCAAAAGAGCCTTCTATGGAGCTCCTCCTTCCAAAAGCTGAGCCTCTCCAGGAAGAGCCTGCTGAGATTCAGATGGAGAGTATACCACAGCCTGCAGAAGGAACTGAAAAGATTCCTGACACAGCTGTGAAACCTGTGGAAATCCAACAGCTGCTGCTGTATGAAGTGACGGCTGGGGCCACAAAAGGGGAAGAACATGAGGAAGAAGAGGTAGAAGTAAGGCAAGAAGAAAAAGAGGAGGATGAACAGCATCTAATATCAGAAATGCCCTCAGAAATAGACTTTGGGAAACCTACTGCTGAAGAAATGCTAGCCAAGGGTAGCCCAGAAGCACTGCCTGAACTGAAAGGCATTATTGAATCGGTGGTGACGGTAGAGGATGACTTTATCACAGTGGTGCAGACAACAGTTGATGAGGGTGAATCTGCTTCTCACAGCGTGCGCTTTGCTGCTACTCAG